AAGATGACAGTCGAACTCTCCCCGGTTGCACTCTCTCCCACCTTCCCTGATCTAGATCGAGGACGTGTGAATTTGGTCCGGGAATGACACAATTAAATCGTCTTACACTTGTTCCTGTTTACGAAATAAATTACACTTGTTCCTGTTTACGATTTATTAGCTTTAGCTCGACAACCAGTTTCCCATTGGAGAGAGAGTGAGGTCCTGGCCTCACACTATAAAATAGATTATTTTTAATTAAATCGTTTGGAATACAGAGAAATTATTATTGAATAACATTTTTTTACTTGCCTAAAATAAAGGAAATAATATAAGTGGCCATCAAATTTGTTATGACTACAATCATTGCTTTGGTGGTTAGGTATAAAACTAATAACTTGCATTTCTATAGTTTAGCATTAAGATTCATAGGAGTGGTGAACAGTTTCTAGCAATGTAAACAAATAACCAATTTTCTCTGTTTAGAAAGTAGTTTTGATTATTTTTCTCATAGGATGCTTTCTGTTTGGGCTGAATCGGGCTAATGTAGTGTTTGACTGAGATCGGCCAAACTAATTTAACTTTGGATACGGGTAGGGCCGGGTAAAATGATACAGGCCTACACACAGTGCCTTAACTAGGCAGGTGCAACAGGTGCACCCGCACAGGGCCCATTTGGAAGAGGGTCCCAAAATGCACGTGTTTGTTTTATTATTTTCCCAAACCTAATTAATTAAGGGGCCTAAATGCAAGTTCTTGCACAGGGCGCAGGAATGGCTAGTTACGGTACTGCCTACACTTATATCTTTATTATATCTAAAAATTGAAATTTACCTTACTTAAGAAAAAAATTAAATGCATTTTTTTAAATTAAACTTAACCAAACGGCACATGTACATATTTAGAAAAAATGGCCCAAATTGTATACGGCCCATGTGGAATTTTCCACATGGCCAGTCCGCCCCTGCTTGCAGACTTCATACCAGTGGCGTATCGTGGGTGTCAGCCACCCGGGGTGGAGGAAAATTTCGGCCCCCCTTATTTAGGTATTTCAATTTAAAAGATGAAAATTCAGTTTTGTGACAGAACAAGCAATGAAAAATTTGGTGGTAGTGCAGCAACCTGTTTAAAATAGTTCTATTGGATATTAGTGGTGTATATGAAAGCGAATGAATCGTACAAGCAAAAAAAAAGGTCAACAGGTTTCGCAGGAATTCCTCGGACGAAAAAGTTACTAGTTCACCCGGCGAGCCAGTTCCCGGACTATCCGGACGATAGCACTATCGTAGGCGCAATGTAACTATAGATTAGGATGTTTCAAATTTTTACAGGATATTACAGTAGAGCGTCGTTTATCCGAAAGTCGGTTATCCGAAATAATTCCAGTTGGCAAATTTAAACTTTTGCTAGTGCTGTGGCGCTGCAATCTTTGGCTATGTCTTGGGCTACTCCAATATTTTTTATGTTTGTGTATGTGTTTTAGCTGGCAGCACTGGGACTTTTGTGTGGTGTTTTTCTGAGGACTGTGTCATGCGGAATCAAACGTTTTTGATACTAGATTAACTTCTAAAGTATAATTGTTTTTGTTTTTATATTTTTCAATATATTTATTTTGTTTGTAAAAAATAGAAATAATTTNGTTTGATTCTCAGCAATTCTCATCATTCTCAGCGGTAGGTGTTATATAACAATTACTATGGTTGTTGAAATACTGAATATAAATGGGATTTGCTTGCAAAATCCGTGCAGGCGAAGTCACGGGTAACAACTAGTTTTTTAATATTTATAACCTTTACAAAAACAAAAACAAACCTGTAAAGAGACATATCTGAGCCAGCCAATAGTTTTTGTTGCAATATTGTCAGTATGATTGGAATCATTAGGATGTCTGTTGTAGTAGATTTCTTCTAGCTCCAGAACTGCTCTATGGTGTTTGTGTCTTTAATATATTGTATTAAATCCAGGACAATGTTGCTTAGGTTTAATGGTGTTTTATCTGTCTTCAGAGTTACAGCTTTGTAATTGTGATGATTCTTGTATTTTGTAGAAATTCTCTTAAAATGTCCATATTTGTTTATAGTGAGCATTTACTATGTCAAAGAGCAGGGCCATTGAGAGCTTGTATGGAGCCTGGAGTAGAGCAGGCTCTTTCTTTCCTAGCAGATCCCTTTAACCTTTTGTTTTTCGAACACATGAAATATGTAGAATGTTTCTTTATTAATAAAAAGCAGTCAAAGATTTTATTTTTTTTTATCAGTAAAAATAATGTTAACTTTATAGTGTTTGGAATCACTACAGTCACCTCAGCAGGCCCGCCGTAAGCGGGCGTGCAAGGCGTGCACTGCACGCGGGCGGCACGTCCAGGAGGGCGGCAAATTGAGTGATCGGTCACATAATATTCAAAGTCATTGTCCCAATACCCACCTTACTTATAGCATAAGAAATGTCTTCGCAAGGAGAAAAAAATCCGACCAGAGCGCAATTACTATATTATTTAGCCTATATTATAGCATTAACAGCACCTCTATTGGCATTTATCAGAATTAGGATGCAATGCGAAACGTCTGTTGGCAGGTTGAACTATCTGGTGGCGCCCGAAAGCCAAGTACTCATAGTCATGCTCTATGACAGAAGTTGACAGGACTGGCGAAATTAGGGAATCCCCACAGGGCTTCCTTCTCAATTTGTACTTGTACACATTCGAACAGTTCTATCGCATATCAAATTGCAAACATCGCTTAACCCAATATAATAATATCTACACACCAATCGAATGCCGAAAATCTATCAGGCTAGTATAAGGCTAATTATTAAATGAATTACGTAACCAATTTGGCTTTAGAGGTAAGCGTTAGGCACCATCTCTTATTAACATTAATAATTATAAATTAATTAATTAATTTAAATAATTTAGAACCGCTGGGAGAAAAAATTGGCCCGGAGTGGGGCTTGAACCCACAACTCCTGCTTACCGTGCAGATGCGTTGCCAGTTACACTGTCTGGACCTCCAGTCCGATCTCCTCTTCCAGCATATATAAGCTAACTATATAACCATCGACGGTTATTACAACGCCGGCTGGGGACACATAGGGCTTGCGATGGCCGGTTGAGTGCCTTATGGGACGTAGGACATGGGCACTGAATGTGTCCCCAGCCGGCGTTGTAATAACCGTCGATTATTTCGATACTCCCCCTGCTCTACAGGTCTTTCCATTTCTGAGTAAAAAAAAAGCATTCTTCTTTAAGATTCCTTTTTCCATTTAAAGTTCTTAAAAATTATAATTAGTTTTACAAAATATACAAATAATGTTTACACTATACTGGTATATCTCGAGTTATGTCATTCTCGATTATACATCGCTTGTCAAAAAATATATGGAAAAATAAAAATCAAGTTTAAGTCATTTTATTTGACATTACGTCCATCCGCCACAAATATTGAAGTCGTAATATCACTAGAAAAGTGTTAAAGCACATAAAATCATATTAAAATATGTACATTTACAATAAATGTTAATATAATCATCATAAATCCTAGAGAACGAAACATGAAAACATCTGTGTTTTTGTGTTTTCATCTTATTTAGAAGTCTTTAAGTGCTCAGTATTGGTATTTTCCATGGTAGCTCCAATATCTATCGTTTGGCGTCATTGTCAGTGTTACTCGATATTGGTAAATTTAATATAAATTAGTTTGTTTCCTACTGTTGTATGATAATTTTAATAACTGTATTTGTTATTTAACCTTACAAAATCATTTTATTTTATAATGTCTTAGAGCAAACCACATTCACAAATAAAGAGTCCGCGATGTACTGTAAACATCACCAAATTGTAAACATGTACTGTACATTTAAAAGTATGTACTGCACATACATGAATTCGTAAATTTAGATTACTTTTTTCTATACTACATTAAAAACTAAAATTTATTTGTTTGTAAGCTTAAAATAGATTCTTATTAACCATATATTATTAAAAATGCATTTATAAATAAAATACAGAACTGGGAACAGTTATTTGTGGTGTGAAATGTTCAACGCGGACAAGAAAACACATACATGTTTTACCAATTAAACGAGTTTAATTTCGCTCTGAATTTGAAATATATATACAGAATAGGTTTGGATTCCCGCTGTTCTCCTCCAAACGGTTCCACAATCTTGAGTGACCAAGTATATCAATAGACCAATAGTTAATTTCTTGATAACTACCTCCCGACAATTTATTTGCACGTGTAAACCTTAACCTAACTTAAACTAAAAATAGAAAAAGTAGAAGGGGAAATGAGAAGAATTAAAGAACAGAAGGGTACCCAATTTTTCAGTTGGTTCTCCACCGTTTTTCATCTTGGCTTCTCTTTCTTGTCTGTTCTCCTCTTAGAACAACTTATAGAGAACTTATAGACAATTATAGAGAAAAAACTCCAAAATGGCAGGTCCGTTTTGGGGTTTTTTCTCTATAATTGTCGACCAGATTCTTCTACCGATCTGCTTATTACGGCCTCTTTCTGCAGCGCTCCTCGACTTTCCGTTCAAGAGCCTACTGCCACTTGTCTGTCTCTCTCAGAGTCCGGCCTAAGAATGCTCTAGAAACCCTCTTTTCCCCTCCAGCCTCATTTTCTCCATTTGTTCTAACGCTAACCCCTGATGGGTTAGGGGTGAGGCGAGTTCTCGGAAGTCTGAGACAAAGGAACAAAGAAATCAGAAAGAAGGAAAATTCTAGAATTTAAATTAAATTAAAACTATACAGACTAATAATAATAATGATAAAAAAAAAAAAAAAAAACAGGCATGTAACCATAGTGGTTTAGCCTAGTGACAAGTAAATTTGACTTAAGTCGTCTCTCCTGGAACCAATTACTGACATAAGGCGAGGTATACCCTTATAATAAATTTATGTCAGTAAAAAATTTAAAATTTTTACTTTAAAAATAGAAAGACTAAAATTTACTGATATGATTATATTGATATGACCATACTTAGTGTTAATGGATTAATGAAATTATTGTATTTTTCAGAATCTGAATTTGTTGTTGAAAAGATTTTGGATAAAAGAGAAAATAATGGAAAAGTTGAATATTTGTTGAAATGGAAAGGTTTTGGGCCGTAAGTATAATTTAAATTAATGAATTTGCCGAAAAAAAGCACAGAAAAGTTTCATGATTTAAAGACGCTACACAGAAAATATTTTTATATGAAAAATTTTAAATAATTCACAAGTGATAAAATGTTATTTTTAAATAATATACATTTTATTTCAGTGAAGAAAATTCATGGGAACCTGTTGAAAATTTATTTTGTCCTAATTTGATTAAGAAATTTAATAAAAAGTATAAGAACAAAAAGCAAGATATAAAAGAAAAAAATAGTAGTCCAAAATCAAAGAAACCTTCTGAAGATACCCCAGGAAAATCCAAGGTATATTAAATTAATTAATAATTAATTAATGAAAATTTAGGTAATGAGTAATTTCTGTTGTTTTAGTTATTTTGAATTCTTAGTAAAAATATTTTTTGATACTATGTATTATTTGAAACATAAATGATTTTTATTAAATATGAACAAAAGCAGATTTAGGAACAGATTTCTGAAAATCAATTTTTAATTTGTATACTAAATTAATGTTATATTAGTGTTATATTAGTGCTCCAGTGTTCTACATTCCCATTACAATCATTCATTTTATTTTCACAACAATTATGTATTATTCTGATCTGCAAAATTATTTATAAGATTATCCTACTGTTGGCATACAATTAAAAATATGAGGAAGGGTAGGCACTGAAACGGGAGAAGTTCTCAGAGAATAATCTCTCATAATCGCCATCTTCTCCTAGCTGTCAGGTTGATTCAAATACAGTCTGCTGACAGTTTGATGGAAACATTATGATGCTTCCATCAAAATGTTCAGTTGCTGCTGATCCCTTTCTGCTTTGTCAATAGCACTGAAAAAGAAAAGAGAGTACTTCTGTTGACCCGTAGTCCTTATATACCCCTCCAGTTCCCCTGCTGGGTTTATTGCCCATCCAGGCCTAATGGGCGATGGAACTTTCTGGAAACTTAGAAACAAAGGCTTTGTAACTGACAATTGAATATTATACATATAAAAATGACAAGCTATTGTGACACATATCTTAATTAATAGAGTACTGGATAGTAGAACAGTCTGTTTAAATGAGTGCTGTGCCAGTGACATTTTTAGAGCAGCAGTCTGCATAAAGGACACTATTCTAGGGAAGATTTGTCAATCTTTAATCTTACAGTACTGTACATTACCACCCAGGACACATGGTGACAGGGTACAGTATAGTATATGTTATGTGGAGATTTGGTGAATCCTTCCATTGGTCAGTTTTCTAATATATGGACAGTGAAAAGATTTGTTACAGTGTGGTGTTCGTAATGAGAGGTACACGATCCCGCGAGCGAAATGGTACAAAATAAATCTTAATACAAAGTATTTTTATTCTCTCTGAACAGGTTCTTTACATTGGATCCCAACTTTACAACTTCCAGACTTTAATATGTATACAGGCATTCAATGTTTGTCATCATAAACAGTTATCTTGCACATACGCGACAATCTGACAAGGACCGTACTCACTTACACTAACTTATACTAACTTAAAACTAAAAATGGAAGAATAGAAGATATAAGGAGAGATAAGGAAAGTAGTAGAAATACCCAGGTTTCTTGCGATGAGCCCTTTGGTGGGGAACAACTTTGAACTAAGTCGTCTTCCCTCGATGATCTCTCTCTGCACTTTCTTGTTTTAGATCACCTTTTCCTTGTAGACCTTTCGTCTACAGTTTTTTTCTTTCGGACTGAGTCGTCTTCCCTCGATGATCTCTCTCTGCACTTTCTCGTCTTAGATCACCTCTTCCTTGTAGGAGCACTCACTTTTTCACCTCCTACCTCTTCAGGATCTCATCTCAGACTCTTACCCTTTCTGTCCGTTTTGCTTCAGGGTCTCACTCCCTCTCTCTTTGTTCTCCTTATCCAGGGAAAGGTAATCCTCCCCCAAGGGCAAAAAGAGTTAGACAAAAGAAAGTTCTAGAAAGATTTAGACAAAGAAACAAAGAAAATCTAAGACTAATCCAATATAAAATATACAGAATATACCATATCATGGCTGATGGCCACAACAGAATCATAAAAAAAGGTTTTACTGGAAGCTTGTGATCTGCTAGCATTGTTTTATGGTTCATTGGAACTAAGCCCTCTCACCTCAACAAGATCGTGACTTGTGAGAGAGTTATTATTATTATTATTTATTGCAATCAAATATTCACAAATTACATTGGAATAAAGAATACCTCGTCCCGTAACCCACGGGAAAGAAGGTACCTATTTCCCCCCCTTTTCTGTATTAGTTGCACTTTACATGCAAATAGTTCCTCTTCTCCTCCCTTTTCCTCTTCTCAACAAGTTCCCAAATGAGCTTTGAGTACAAGTCTCAAAAGTTGTATTAGGTAAATCCGGATTAACTAATGAATGATGTATATCTGATTATTGCTACTGATTTGGAAATTTCTGTATGCCTTGAGATTGATGTATATCACGCTTTTGCTGATCTGCTGTATTGGCCTCAAAGATAGCATCTCCAAGCACTCTACTGAGTATAAGCGATGTGTGTATAACTGCCTGTTTCTGAAGGATACTAATATCAATGTTGGATTCTAATTGATCTATGTATTTCTTAATGTTTTTTGCTACTATTCCTGTTGCTCCTATTACTATTGGAACAACAGTCGTCTGTGTATTCCACAGGCGGTTAACTTCCAATTTCAGAAAATGATATTTACTCAATTTTTCAATTTCTTTAGCACCAATGTTATAATCTGATGGTACAGTTATATCTATTAAAAATGTTACATTACGATTTTTATCAACATAAATTAAATCTGGTCTGTTGTGAGATACAGTGACATCAGTTTGGACAGGCATTTCCCATAGTATCTTGGCTGAACTATTTTCCTTAACTTGTGGTTGGAGTAGAATTTCCTTCCACCATTGGTCAGCAACTTCTATTTTATGTTTTCGGGCCAGGCACCAGTAGACGTACTGGACAAGGTTATTATGACGTCTTACATAACTAGTCCCCGCCAGTTTTTCACATCCTGATATAATATGTTGCGTGGTCTCGTCTTTAGTCGCACATAGTCGACATTTCCCATCCACTGGTTCCTTTAAGATGTCACGTTGATATTGTCGTGTCATAACAGCCTGGTCCTGTATAGCAAATATTAATGATTCAATACTTGGGACTATTTGTTGCTTTTTAATCCATTCAAATGCAAGCTCTCTATC